TGTTCAACCAGGGTGTTTTCAAGTGTAGTAACTTAAAACTAATTAAGAGTAAATAGACTATCACCCAACAGCTGTGTTATCTTTCTTTCTTTTGGGCTGCAGCACAACAGAAAACGAACACTCCAAATTTAACAGGTTCAGCAACCAATCAAGAAGATTCAGGAAATAAAAAGAAAGCAAAAAAGTCCAAACAGAATGTGGAGAAAGTCCCTTCAAGTGATGCTATTTTGTCTTGCCCAGCTTGCATGGCAACATTATGCATTGACTGTCAAAGGTTAGTATTCAAATTGTCATTTACAGTGACCATCAGCAGAAGATGTTTCAAAAATGATTGTCTGCAGTGGTGTTATTACTGTTTTCAGCGGGAGGGTGGCTGGTTTTCACAGGAAGGCAAAACTATTTGAACTGAACTTCTAATATAAGAAAAACTTTCCTCTAGATGGTCAAACAAGGCGGGCAAAATCATCCTCACAACTGGTCAATTTTCTCATTCCACTGGCCTTAATGAAACCCCGTGTCTGCTTTATGTTTCCTACTGCTGCATGCAACATGAGCCACTCTCTAGACTGCCAGTACACAAATACTTTTTACGATAACTGCAGAAATTCTCGTGTGCTCGTTGGCTAATTTTCATTGTCAATATACGGACAGACACAATAATTTATCATTCATGCAATGCGTCAAGGAGCGAGAGCAGACAGTTTGACAATTTGTTATCTGCAGATCCACTCGACTATTGCCTCGTAGATCCACAGCTACTTTGACACTGTTATGACAAAATTCATGATCAATAACAGGACAGATGCAGGAAAAACTGACGTCAGTTTGTGAAATGTGCATGATTTATATATACAACTTTGTATGACAGGTGCAAGCAATTTGTCAGTTAGAGACATTTTTAAAAGAAACAATCTGTGTCTTAAGCATGTTACCTGTCATATTAACTATGATCATAGGCCATTTAGATTGTTTCATCCTTATTAATACAATGAGCTGAATCAGTATTCGTAAGTCCTTGTTCTAATATTTGAGGGGGGTTAATTTTGGTGGGATTGTATCTGCGTTGTTTTGGGAGGCTTGTCTAATTCTGTTTATTTATACTTATTTAGGAGGAGCTGGAGGAAATTAAAAATTTTCTTTAACATAGTTTTCTTTATTCCAGACATTTTTTATACCACTTATGGCATTTTGAACTGTTTTTCTTTTTGCGAAACATTTTAAAATTTTTGGACTTGATGTCAATTAATTCAATATGTAGTGTTCCTGACGTTGGTGACTAGGTTTTGATGTTATTCTTCATTGCAGACATGAACTTTACAAGAATCAATACAGAGCCATGTTTGTCATGAACTGCAAAGTCGTAGAAGATGAAGTATTGAGATATGAACCATCTCAACAGCATAACTCGGGGAAAAAGAGAAAGAAAGCACAGAAGGGAAAACTAGTGCAACACACAAAGGAGGAGGACAATTTAACTTCTGGTGGCAATGCTGCATCAGAACGTTATCATCCAGTCTCTTGTGTAGAATGTAATTCAGAGGTTGCTGTGTATGATAGTGATGAGGTTTACCATTTTTTCAATGTCCTTGCAAGCTATGCTTGAGGATAACTAATATTTATTATTGTGTAGTTATTTTTGATAAAGTTATTTCAGAGTAGACTTTGGAGAAATATAAATTAAACTTAACTAATAGTGGAGTGGCAAGAGTGGTTTCCCTTCCTTGGTGAAAAGAAAGAATTATTAGTAATATAATGTTGCCCCTGTGCAGTCCATACTGAGAGACAACAGAGCCCTAAGTTGAGGCCCCAGATATAACAGCATTGGAGAGACTGAAAGAAAAAGTGATTGTGATGGGGTGAAAGAAAGGGTGATTGTGATGGGTGAATAAAGTCATTTATTTTACAACCCTCAGGTCTACTTGTAACCACCCCTCCCCCTAGTCTTCTTGGAGCCTTACTCATGACTACCTGTAGGCTACCCCCTCCCCCACCCAAAAAAAAAGGCAAAAATAAAACATAGCAGTTTATATAATTATAAAAATTTCAAATATTGCCGAAGAAACTACGGCTTATTAGTCCAGGATCGTAAGCAATGAATCCCTGTCGGCCTTCACAAAATGCCCATTATTTACAGTGATGACCAAGTTTGGAAAACTAAAACTCCAGATACTCCAGAAAAAGACTCCCACTTCCCTGGAGTTCAATGTGTGCATTTTCCGAGCAATGACAAAAATAAAGCGATGTATTTTGCCGTGTTCTTATTAATTTACAACTTTGGGACGATTACAAACAACATTACGGTGAGCTTCAAATTGCTACATTGTAGTGTACCATGTGCAGGGCATCCTTGGGAATAAGACAACCTTTTTAACCAAGACAGTTGGACATCTAGCTTTGTAAAAGCTAACCGTGTAAGGTGTTTCACCATTTTTCAAAATATATGTAAGCTTACAGTTAAATGGAATTAGTGAACAGCTATAAACACGGATGAACAACTTTCAATTTTGGAAATTATCAAAGTTCTAGCTACTTTCTACCAAAACGCTCTCGCTTCGACTAATTGGCGAATCTTGTTAATTAAAGTTCAATGTTTTTGTTCCTTTTCACGGTAAGGTTATCTTCATGTTGCGGCTCGTGGCCTTCAACGTAACCCACTTTGGGATACTTCTCCACGTAAAGTTTCTTGTAGATTTCATCGAGACGATTCAGGTCCTCCTCCGAAAGGTCCTCCTGGAAATTAAAGAGAAAACATTCACTTGATTTTGTCCATTTAAACAGAAAAGGACGAGGAACCAAAAAAATAGCAAAATAAAAAGGTTGACAGGCATTAACTGGTTGAAAAAAGAAAAAGAAAATTTTCTTTAGCAGAGCGAGGTTTTGATCCTCGGACCTCTGGGTTATGGGCCCAGCACGCTTCCACTGCGCCACTCTGCTCTATGAGATAACAATGTGAAATTATACTTATTTAATGAAAACGTATGACGTCAGACATTGCGTGTATAAACTTCAGTGTTCTCACCAGATTGTCGTTGAGGTCTTCCTCTGACATGGACCATTTAGCTATTGCTCTTGAAGCATCTTTACCGGAGAATACATTATACGATCCTCCACGTCCATAAACCTCTACACAAGGACAGAAAACTTATATTTTAAACACGAAGTCACAAGTTTCAGACAGTGTTGAACATTGCTCTTGAATTCTTCAAACAAGGAACTAAACATTCAGTACCGAAATAAACGGATCAAATACCCTAGATATATTGAGAGCATGTGTGTTATAACCGACAGGAAGAGATCTTAAAAATATCTTACTTCTGGCTTCGGAAACATCGAAAACAACTCCCTTGATAGCAACGTAGACGGGAAGATCGGGCTGAAACAAAATACGACAAAACACAAAACTGTCACGCACGCAATCAAGACCTCTTCACTCAACAAGTAAGCGAAGTAAGTGAGGAAAACCAAAATAATTAAAGACATTTTAAACATGCTACATCAACGCAGTTGACGGTGTACTTACATCCTCTCCATTGTATTTAGATAACTCTTCCTTAGTGAAAACTGTGTACGAATGAACATCGCTCTCCGTGTGTTCAGAAAACGGCGAGTGAATCAAGTCATCGTTTTCAAGAGTAATATCTACTGCTGCTGTAGTAATATTCAGGAAATATAACAAAAAAGCAAACTTTGCAAAATCAAGCTTCATTTTTGTCGCCCTAAGGACAAATGACTTGGACAAAATTGCGGCGATGTAGCCTCTCGCGTGACCCTGAGGCGTGACGCTGAACTGAATGGTCACATGACCGGAAGTGATATTAAAATTCTCAAAACGAGTTAATTTTGCCTTTGAGAAAAGATATTTTGACGATTATTTGTCCAATAGGG